CCAGGAAGATCTTAGGTATGGAGATCTCACGAGACAGGGTTTTTGGTAAACTTTGGTTGTCCCAAGAGAATTATATTCTCAAGGTGTTGAAAAGGTTTAACATGGATGAAGCACGATCGGTTTCTACTCCTTTAGCCGGCCACTTCAAATTATCCTCAGAGCAGTATCCACAAACAGTTGAGCAGGAAAAATGTCTCAGATACCATATGCGAGTGTGGTGGGATCGCTGATGTATGCTATGGTTTGCACTAGGCCTGACTTAGCCTATGCAGTAAGTTCAGTAAACCGATTCATGTCAAATCCATGAAATTAGCATTTGGGAGGCGGTGAAGTGGATTATGCATTATCTACGATGGACTGCAAAGGTGGGCCTATTGTTTCAGTTTTTGGAGGATAAGGGGCCCAAGAAACTACAGGGATATGTCGATGCAGATTACGCAGGCGATCTTGATCAGTGGAGGTCAACGACGGGGTATGTATTCACAGTTTCTAACTGTACTATTAGTTGGAAGGCTGAGTTACAAGAAATTGTGGTTCTTTTGACGATTGAGGCAGAGTACATAGCTACAGTTGAGGCATCAAAGGAAACTCTGTGGTTGCGGGGTTTGGTTAGGATGTTTGACATCATGCATGATTCAGTACCTATTCATTATGACAGCAGAGCGAGATTCGAGAGTGGATTGATAAGGAAAAAGTGATCAAATTGGTGAAGATCAGAACAAAGAAGAATCCGGTGGATATGATGACAAAGGTCATTCCAGTGGAGAAGTTCAAAGCATCTCTGGACCACGTTCTTCAAAAGTAACTTTGGAGAAATACTGGGAGGGAGTTGTATAAAGTAGAGGTTGATTTTGGAAATTCTTCATGAAGGATTGATTCAACGTGATGTGAGTCAAGGTGGAGATTGTTGAGTTCATGATGACTCAAATCACTTGAGAAGCAAGATTGGGTTTGGACTCTAATTAGGATCCTAAGTAGGATTGGATTAAAGAAATTAATTAAAATGGGAAATCTAGTTAGGATTCAAGTTAGAATTCTAATAGGATTGAGCAAAATCAATCTCTATATATATTGTATCAATCCATGGGTTTAAAGACAAGAAAAGAGAGAGATCTATATTCCACCATTGTTAGGGGTGTGTAGTTTTAACCTCTTCTAATCTCTTCTCAAAAGAAATAAGATATTCCTCCTCCTCGTGGACGTACACAAATCATCTTGATCGTGTGGAACCACATTAAATCTTGTCGTTTGTTGTTTGTCATGATTGCTTGGTAGATTTGGGGTTTCTTGGTTGTTTAAGTTTTATCTTCCGCGGCTTGCATACTTCAACACTAGATCCCATTTCAGTCCTCCATTACTCAATCTTCCATAAATGTTACCAAAGAGAGGCATAATGAGAATCAAATTTTAGAATGCATCACAATGTAATCTCATTGTCATTATAAAAAAAAGTCCAAACTTTGTAAATGGTATTGATTTAACAAAGTACACGACCAAAGATAAGTGTCATAAAACATCATCATCATCAAGTGCTATAGAAAAAAATTAACAAACCATTTATTGATATTAATTACCAAGCATCAAAACGATATGAATCCCAAATCACGGCTGATAATAAGAGCATACTAGTCCTAAATCCCTAACACTTAAGCTAGTGTTAAATCCACCTAAATTTTATATCTACTAGTTTAAGGGCATGTTTGGATTTCATTGCCTAAGATGGTCCAGCCAAATTAGTAAACTGTCTATGAGTACTCCAATGTCTAAGTTTCAACTCTCCTGAAGCACCTACAGAAATTTTAATTCCTGAAACACTGGAGTCCGTGCATTGACGGGTGCCCCTTAGCCATGCCCAAAGGTTTGATACCCATGGTTAGGTGGGGTTTGATCCCCATGGTTTGGTTTTTGCTAAATTACACCCAAAATTTACATATTCAGTCTTTCTACCCTTCCACTTTAACAATGTCGGTTTCTAAACTAGGCAATGATAAAAAAATTGATTATTTGCAAAATTACCCTTCCATTCTCTCACATTGATTTTTTCTACCCCTTGCACTTAACATGTTTATTTTCTACATAGGAAAATATTGCAATGTCAAAAATATTGATTATTTTCAAACCCTTTTATTATCATTAGGTCTGAACTTAACATCTATTTTATTTTATGGGGTTTTTAGATATGAGTCCCTTAAATCACTTTTATTTTGATATTAGTCCCCCAAAATCTTCATATTTTGACATTAGTCCCCCATATTGTACAAGTATGTTGATATCAATCCTTCTATTACTATTTCCGTTCAAAATCATTAACCATGGTTAGGTTAAGACTAACCACGCCTAGAAACTTGATATTTACAAAATTACCCCGTAATTCTCTCACATTGAATTTTTTTCTACCCCTCCCACTCAACATAAAATTTTTGACAGTGCCCAGTTTAGAAACCAGCGTTGTTCACTTTGGAAGGGCGGAAAAACTCAATATGCAAATTTTGGGCATAAATTTTGGGGTTACATTTGCAAATATGAAAGATTGGAGGGATATAGATGCAAAAACTACATAATAATTAACAAACTAGAAGATATGATTATTTAGTATGACAACTCCAATCTGACTTGTTTAAGGAAATAAATATGTAAATAAGACTAGCCATAAAAAAGGAAAACATAAGATGGAACTAGTTCATCTTTCCATTCATGGCAAATCATTTATATGAAATAAAAAGATTTGTTGCAATTTATATTATAGTCTCATTTGTAAATGGTATATAAAATTATAATGGAGATAAGAATATATGAAAGCCCAGTGTTTGAATACTTTGATGACTAAAAGTATCATTATATCGGCAAAAGAAATTTTAGACTGAGCGAAGTGAAAGATTTGGTCAAAAAACATCAACTATTTAATAAACAAAAAATATTTGGTTGCACGCTCGCCAATAGTCTTAAGGGGTCTCTTTTCATGATGTTATTGTGATGATTTGAAATGGGTTTTGGGGGAAAAATTACAGCTCCCTCCAAAATTTTCCAACGGCGTCGACATCGGTGGTGAAACTTTCCCGGTGTTCGTTTATGAGGCGAAGAAAACTACGATGTTGAAGAAAGTGATGACAAATTGCATCTCCATTTCGAAGAAAAAGACGGGAACTTCAGCGACCCCAGTGTAATTGTTTTCTTTTGTTTTACTTGTACTTGAATCTGAGTGCTATATATTTTTGTTATTTTACATATTGTTGTAATTTTTTTTAAATCAATGACTTGAGATTAAAGTAGAGTACGTAAATTTATATATTATTGTTATTTTACTATAATAAGTTTGTGGTTAAGCTTATGAGTTGGTGGTGAAGGAATGTTACGTGTTGGTTTTAAAGTTTACAAGTTAGTTGTTAAGGTTACAAGTTAGTTGTGAATATTACGAGTTGATTGTGAAGGTTACGCGTTAGTTGTAAAGGTTATACGTTGGTTATGAAGGTTACGAGTTGGTTGTAAAGGTTACGAGTTGGTTGTGAACCTCGGTAAGGAATTGATTGTGAAGGTTACGAATTGGTTGTGAACCTCGGTAAGGAATTGATTGTGAAGGTTACGAGTTGGTTATGAAGATTACACGTTGGTTGTGAAGGTCATGAGTTTGTTGTGAAAGATAACGAGGTAGTTGTGAAGGTTACGCGTTTGTTGTGAAGGTTACGAGTTGTTGTGAAGGTTACGAATTGGTTGTGATAGTTACGAGTTGATTGTGAAGATTAGTTAACAACAATCACAATCAACTCATTGTCGAGGTTCACAACCAGCTCGTAACATTCACAAACAACTCGTAACCATCACAACAAACCCATAACCTTCACAACCAATGTATAACCTTCACAACCAACTCGTATCCTTCATAACCAACGCGTAACTTTCACAACCAACTCGTAACCTTTCTTCACAACTAACTCATAAGCTTAACAACAAACTCATTACGGTAAAATAACAAAAATATATAAATTTGCATACTCTATTTTAATCTCAAGTCATCGATTTTAAAAAAATCACAACAATATGTAAAATAATAAAAAAAATATAGTATTCAGATTCAAGTACAAGTTAAAAAAGGAAAAAATTACACTGGGAGTCACCACCGGAGTTCCCGTCTTTTTTTCGCCTCATGAACAAACGCTGAAAAAGTTTTACCACCGATGTCGACGTCGTTAAAAATTTTGAAGGGAACTAGAATTTTCCCCCCTAAAACCCATTTCAAATCATCACATATTGTGTGTGTGAGAAAGAAAGGGTATTAGAGTCTTCACATATTTTAAACTCTTGGGCTTTGTGTTTTAGGGCTCAGGGAATTATGGTTTTGCTTATGGGGGTTTTGAGAGCGTTGAAAAAATCTTGGGGAGGAGGGGCATAATATTTGTAAGGAAATTGGGGGCTAGAAGCAATTTTCCCTAGTCTTAATCCAAAAACACAAGGAGGTTCCTTTTTTTTTTTCAAATAAATGTTATTGCATGTTGCTTAAAACTAACACATTTGTTAACCCATCAGCTACTGTTTTTGTGGTTAGATGCTAGAAACTGAGTTCTGTACACTCATGGAGATGAAATAATTATATGTTAATGTTCCCTTGTATACTAACAATAGCGAATAATGCCATATAACTTGCATTAGACAATATGACAGTGTGAACAAAAATTAAAAAGTCTAATCCAAAGTAATTATTAACTTAGGTTAGACAAATCCAAAGTCATAGAAGAATAAGTTAGTTAGATAAACCAGTTGTTTGAATTTGAAGAAATAGTCATCCTCGGTGGTAATTCTCTCAACATTAACTAGGTCCACAATAACGGTACCAGAAATTATAGTTTAGAAATCAAACTAATAATGGAGAATATTTTTCTGTTAACCGTTCTTTACGTAACAGCTGAGGTAATATTCGAAGTTGACGTTAAAACAAGATCTTGTCAAAGCAACATCTGATAAACTGCAAGAAAAAATAAAACATAACAGCATAATACAAGACAAAATGAACAAGACAAACACCAGCTTTCTTCTTTTTTTTTAGCATAAGAATTTTCAACGTTGACAGCAAACTAGCACAATACAAAGATGTGTAAACGTCAACTCACACAAAGCTACAGTTGTTAGAAACGTAGCACTTGCACCCTCCTCAGAGCATGGAGGGTCAATACTCTGGGAAATTTAACAGCAAATGCTTTTAAAAAATGACACCAATACATCACCAAGATGCACGCATCAAGCCTAAAAATGTAAGATACATAGAATCCAAGATTATATGAGAAAAGAATTCTCACCCATGAAAGCAGGCCTTGAGGCTGTAGAATGATACGGAATATCATCAAAACCCTGAAATCAATACTAAAAATCTTGCAATCAGAACTGCATAATATTAATACCAACTTTGTATTTTTAATCATACCAGTAAAAGTTTCAGAAATTCACAAGAGGACTATCATCCACCAAATTTGAGATATCAGAAAGCTTTTGCCTCGGTGTGGACTTTGAACTTGCAATCGTGTCCAAGTCAAAGTTACTAATGTCTTTCCTCTTTTGTGTTGTTTCTTGCTTGGGTTTCTCTTCTACTGCCTCAGCAATGGGACTCAGAATAGAAGGCTGCTGGTTCTGTTGTTGGGATATCATGGCTTGTGCTTCTGCGATTACTGAAGGGTTGTCTTCAGCAGCGTAGAGTATTCTCTGGATTGCACCTACGACCTGTGAAAGATACAAATTGTTCACATAAATGATGAGCGAGATGGTTTGGTCTTATAAGCTAATTGCATCAGACTGGGACACAGTAGGACCCCAAGGCGAGGTACAATAATGATTGATCAGATTGTAGGTCACTCAACAACAACAGCAGGAGCCAAGGAGGGATGCAAAAGGATATGAATGTTCACAGATATATTTGTAACAGACGGATATTGATATTACATATTTTTATCCAGATGGATATGGATACATATACGGACGTTGTTTTAAAATTTTAAAAGATAAGGATACAGATACGGATATAGTTTGCAGTATCCAGATTCCTATGAGGACATCCAGATGCCTATGACCAGTTTGCTTAAACTATGTTGATTTTAAATTAGGGCACCCGAAACTGATTTTATGCCCCAAATACCTAACATGCAGTCTTGCAGAACTAACTGGGGATCTATGATTTGAGAAATTTCATGTTATTTAGCTAACTCTTCTTTCATATTGGCAATTTAGCATATAAACTTTGATACATCAATTTCTCTCATGCCCAATATGTTTCTGGATCTATTTCCCTCTTACATGATATGTGTCTACATTCATTTGCAGATGTGGATGTGTTTTTCTCACCAAAACTTATCTATATTTTTATCCGTGCACGAAAACATATCTATATTTTTATCAGTGTACGTGGTTAGAACTTAGAAAGCAGATAGGGGGATGGTAAATGACATATCAGGCACAGAGCCATGGATGGTTCCAGAGACATGAGTGTTCAGATTTGTGAAGGGCGTGGATTCCTGAGTTGGATCAAGTGAGACAGGTGGATTTTGCTAATTTCATTGGTGTCAGGACATTTTCTTCTCTATTCTTTGTATCTATTTTCTCTCTCCTTCCAGGAGAATCTACAAGGTTACGAAATAGAGGGTTGTTGATAGTTTGTAGGTATTTGTAGCCAAGGTCATGGTATGGTACTCGGGTATGCAGTGGCCTCATGTGCTTAAGCTTGGAGTAGTGGCATACTGGCAGGCCCCTGTGCTCAGTGACTTTACATGTCAGGGTATATAGAAATTTTGATGGATTAAAAGTAGAGCAATTTGTTAATAGTTCACTTTACTTGGAGGAGATTTGGTTGATAGGGTGCTCTAAACCTCATGAGGTTTGGAGTGTTCCACATACCAAATGAGGAGGATCATAGTTTACTTCGTCATTTGTGACGTAAGGAGGAATAATACACCAAATTGAGTATGATTTATAATAACTACATAATGAAGGAAACTACGCCTTGTTTTTAAATTAGGAGTCCTGTTGAAATTAAACAAATTTCCTGACTTTCTTTCAAAGTGTGGTATTCTTTGCTTTAAGCAGGCCTTAACATAGAGTTTCTTCTCATCTCAAAGTAGACTTCCCAGATCTATGAAAGAAAGGTGCTCCAAAGAGTAAACATAACAAACAAGGTTTAAGTCCAACTTAGTACTCACAGGTAGCTGTTCTAACTCAGGTTTCTGGCACAACACTTCAATGTCTCGCAGTTTAGCAAAGTAGAAGTCCCTTTCTTTCTCAAGGCTATCCACAAAAAGCTTCAGTTCAGTTATCTGCATTCAGTAAATTAATTACTTAGATCCTTCAAATCAGGGCTAATGAAAAAATACTATAGATCATCTACCATTGGGGTTAACTAAACGAACTTTATCTACCTGTTCATCGTAAGCTTGCCCTTCTAATGTAGAAGAGGACTTTGTGGTCCTATGAACTGAGGCATTGGTAGCATTTCCCTCAATTTTTCGGGCAGTGTGAGAGGATTGCGCTTTTGCACCAGCAGATGAAGACCTTGATGAAACTTGAGAAGAAACTGGTTTTTTATGAACCTCCTTTCCTCCTTTACAAGATTCTCTTCTTTCCAAGGCATTGTAGCTGGAAAAAATATCAATGCAAGATAAAATATGGGTTCTGTAAGTACTTGCTAAATTGGAAGGAGAAAACAATGTTACAGAAGATGCTAGGCAGACCAGGCGTTTGAGCTAGCGCCTAGACACCTAGGCGTTTGGCTATTTTTTAAATTATTAAATTATAATAATTAATAAAAATATGTATTAAATTCATATAAATTTGTAAAAAAATAGATAGAAATCTTCGATCCTCAATAAACCATGCATAATTAAATACTAAATAGCCAAAATAACAACTAACAAGGTGATAGAAAGCGCTAGTAGGCCTAGCCGCTGGACCCAACGCCTAGAGCCTGGGAGGTTTTCTATTTTTATTTTTAGTTACAATATTTGATAGTAAATGTCAATGTTATAGAAAGCTTAGGTGTCGAACTGGTGTCTAGACGGATTTCCTTCTTTTTTTAAGTGGTGGTCACGGGGATTTTGCTGAAGGTAAGAGGAGGTAGTGGAGATGTTCATATTTTGAGGTTAAAGGAATTTTAAGGAGGTTGGAGAACATGGAGGGTGCAACAGAGAAAATCACGATCAATATGCCTAAGAGTGTAATCTACGTAAGCAGACAGTGCTCCCTTAAACACTGCCAAAACCTAGGCGGGCAGCCTAGGTACCGCCCAGGCGCTAGGCACTAGTTAGGAACCTAGGTACCGCCTAGGCCTAGGCAGACTATGCGGAGGCTTTTTAAAACAATGGGAAGCGTTCAAAGAAACTGGAATAAGAACTTTGAACAAAGATAAGAAGGGAATGAAATGTGAAATTCCAAAAATAGTATTAAGTCGAGATAGTCTACGAAAGAAGAAGATGCATTTCATAGTACAAAAAAAACATAATCTTAGATGAAACTCATTTATCAGATTCTGACCAAACAACAAAGTTTCCATCTTATTTTCAAATTATGGGTAGAGAGCTTCTGGTTTTCAAATTCCGAGGTACAAGTACATGATAGAATATCAGCATTTATTGACAAACAGAGAATAAGATGTCCTTAAAGTAATTGTACAGCTTACCTGCCCAAAACACCACCATTGACTGAATCACAGTACCTCTTCATCCATTGCATGAATTCTAAATTATCAAGGGGTCTTCCTTTGATCAGCTTGTTCACCTCAATATGCTATCAAAAATAAAAGACACCAAACAAAAAGAATTAAAGTAGGCAAATAGAAATATCCAACGATATTTCAGACTATGTTGCAGGCATGCATGTGCAGGCAGTGGCACACACACATGCACATATATTTAATAAAATAAATAAAGTAGAAAATCAGGATATAAAACTGAAATTGGAGGTGGCTTTTAGTTTGTGGATCTTAGAGTTTAAATGTAGTCATAAGTTATGCAGAAGCACATTAACACAAATAATAATTATGTCATCAATACAAGGTCTGAGAAGACAATTTTAAAGACTAAATACAATAATGAACTTATTAATATAATATAATTGGATTATTCAATTCGATATTTAACAATTCATTGAAGAACTAGAAAGTGAATTTCTGCACATAAAAAGAATTTATTATTATATTATTTCCAATTTCCGTAATTGTATAAATATCCTTCTCCTTGTTGTTATCATCTACAAGCCTAAGGTTATCTCCGATACATATCTGCAAGTAGAGTAGTTAGCCTACTATTTGTAGCTTCTCATGTGTAAATAAATGAATCAGTAGCAAATCCTGTGTGGCTAAGAAATATCCGCTACCAATTATTAAATGTTATCACACAAATTAAAGATGGATTAATAATCAGTACAGAAATGATATGACATAAGAATTACTTTTAGGTTCAGTTGAACCCTCAAATCCATAAGGTTCATCACCCATATGAAACTACCACTTAATCCATAACCATAACCACGTTATGCAATTTGACGCCAAAACATTACCATAAATCCATAGATCAATGGCAATTAGAAGCTGCAGGCACCCCAAAAAAAAATCCTAAATTTCCAAACTCATTAAACGAAATGAAATAACCACAGGATCCAATTTTCCGAATCCAACACAATCACGAACCTAAGTTATCCGCTCCCGCAATCGACAAAACCCTAGATCCAAAAACAGTCCACCAAAACATAGCGAAATCAACGAAATGACGATTCGAGATCAGGGAAAAGGAGAAGAAAAAGCCAAAACCTTTTTAATCTTGAGCTTGTTGAAAACATCCTGAAGAACCTTGTAGTTCTGGATCATCTCGTACTCGTTCTTCGCATCGAAATTCACCTTGTGCATCGGCACCATCCCCGTGTGAACCGCGTCCATGAGCTGGCAGTGGACCGCACCCGACGCAGCCTGAAATCACAATCAATTCCACGAAGAAATTATCAAATCGTTCAGAATCCGAATCATTTCGAGAGAAATTTTTGGTACCTCTTCGACTTTGGAGAGATTGAGATGGAGAGTGGAGTTGATCCAGGCGAGGATCTCGTTCCGGCCGACGAAGTAGGCTCCGTCCATCATTCCGATGTTCGTCGCCGCCATTGGAGATCTCAGAGAGAGAGAGAGAGAGCAGCGGTTAGGGTTAGGGTTTCGAGTGAGTGATGGAGTGATGTTGGAGGAGAGCGGGATTAATTGATATTTGGGTAGAATTCAAAATTTGGGGTTGGGGATCTTTGCGTAAAGGTCCAAAACCAATTACATATTGGAGATTTAAAATTAGTTATAGAAACTGTAATGGCGTTGTAAATTCTTTTATTTGTCTATTTTTGGACAATAATGTGTCGTTCGTTAATTGGTTTTAATTTGTTTAAAGATAGAGATTGATCAAAGACTTTTTTTTTCATTGTTGTACGATATATATGTATATTTTTCGTAAGTGTAGATTTCAAGACGAACTTAATGGATGGGAGTCATGGGAGCTATAAAGATGGAATTTTCAGTTTTTATCTCTAGAAATTAGATTAACAATCAAGCATAATCATCTTTTATGACTAACTGATTGATTATTTTTTTCATCAAATCAGAAATTTTAGAGAGTCAAGATTCACTCTAATTACACTAGTAATCTACTTTAATTATGTAGGTGTCGTTTGGCAATGATTAAGAAAGAAGGGTTAGAAGATAAAGGGGTAACTTGGTTATCCCATCATGATAGAGTTCAGATAATCAAATTCGGTTTGGATTACATAGTTAGAATGAAGGGAATAACTATTTTGCATTGGTCAAAATAAACAAGGGTTAAAGAGGCTATTCCCTTTGCTTTTTAGAAAATACCATGCTTGCCCTATCTATTTATGTTGATGACAGATATCAAACATGGGAGTTTAGTATGAGTTGTGTTCGGTTTTAGAGTTCCTCAATTTTCTTTTGATGGTTGACTATCAAGTCGAAGATTTGGTCCTGCACACAAACAACACGTAAGAGGGTTGGAGTTGAGATCTCTGGGGGCTCCTCCGACTATCAAAGTAGTATGGATTTTAAGTGGAGGAGGAAGAGTGCAGTTGTAGTGTGTTTTTTCGATCGTAATCATGTACCTCCATGCGGTAGGCACGACACCAATTTATAGCAGATTCGAGGGGGCAATTTTATAATTTCGGCCGAGTCCATGCAGCCAGCTTACTCGGCTACACTTTACAGGCGTTGGCCGCGGATGATATGAGTCACCTTCGTGACTAATACGAGAGTGACAGAGGAAGTCAAGTGCTGACGAGGTCCGGTGAGTTATTGAGACTTTCGGGGTTAGAGCAACGATAACTCCGACCATGCATATAATGTGATAGTGATCGGCTATCGACGTCGGGTTCGAGAGTGACCACCTTTCGACTCGGCTTTGCGGGTGGGCAGATAAAAAGACGCCTTTTGATTCGGCCATTTTGGATTGAGAGCTTCTCGACCTGGTTTTACAAAATGAAGAGGCATAGAGTCATCCTAAACTATAGGGTTCGAGTGAGGATGCCTTTCCACTCGACCTTTCTTGGTAAGGGTCGAGTGATCATTTTATTAGACTCGTCCTGCATAGGCTCGAGTCGAAATGATGCATGGTTAATTCGGGACACGTGTCGACTCCTAGGGAAGGATGAACACTTAGTCATTTATGTTATAACAACTTGTGTACAAAACAAATTCAACTTATAAAGGCAAGTTTTAAAATTACTAATTACTTGCCATGTATGAGTTATTTAATTAGTCAACTTTGAAAATGTAACAAAAAGTAAAAAAAATGATCATGTTAACCAAAGTATAATTGTCACGCCCTGGTTCCAAAATGTAATAATTTGGAACGTTACTCAACCGGCAATGCAACCATTCGGCCACACTCACGCCTCTAGATCATCTTGTATATAGATATAAAGCTAAAATTACACCACAGAGCATGTAACTAAGATAACAAAGAAATATATAGATGAAGAAATCTCCAAAAGTACGGAGTCCAACTACGAGTTTACAACTATCCATAATTGGAAAGGGTAATAAAAAATTACACCATAGTCTAGAAAAAGTCACATGTGGCTCAATCAAAAGTCTAAACAAAATAACTATCTAAACCAAGTGAACTGAAGGACTGATGAACTAAAAGGTGATCATTGTCGCTAGACTTGCTCCTCAAAATATTTTCGGTCCTGCTAAGACAGAATAGTTCCCGAGTCTAGGGTGCGCAAACCCCGGGGGAGTCAAAAAACTCCCAATAAGTATGTAAAATGAAGGAATTGTGCACGTGTAAATGTATGTAGCAAGTATAAAGAAACGATGAAAACTCAATTAAATGTGATAAAAGAAAATGTTAATTGTATATATCAAATAAGGTCTACCACAAAGCACACAAGCACATTATTGTTATTTTAGGTGTTATTTGAATTAGAGAAGAATATTTCCATGTATATAAATCGGGTTCCCGTAAACAGTCCCGGGAACACGACTTCAAGTTAGGATTAGCCCTTAGCCCTTATACATAAATCTGGATATCAAGAATGTGCATGAGCCCGCTTATATACACGTTATATTATCCGTCTAATTCCCCCTTTATAACGCTCAAACGGTCTAAAATTTGAGTTTAGACCCAAACAGGTCTAGTATTCGATGTTGTACCCCAATCGGGTCGGGTTAGGTTCAGAACCCGATCCAAATAAAATTTTGTGGAAAATCAGGGTCCTTGAGATTCAAACTCCAGACCCTTGTGTCATTGTCAAAGGTAGCTAACCACAAAACAACAGATGATGAAAGATACAATCTGACGTCCTTTACATCAACAAGCGGAAGTTACAATCTGACGACCTTCGCAATAGTCGATGAAAGTTACAATGTGAAGACTTTCACAACAACGTGCGAGAGTTACAAATTGACGACTCTCACATTCCACAAGGGTCAAGTGTAAAGATTACAAGATAACAATCTGCACAAAAGTCAAAGAAAATAGATTACAATTGACGATCTCTACAAACCCAAACGCAAAAACCCTCTTTCGCGTCCCAGAAGCTCAAATGCAGAGGTCACCATGTGCTTCCAAGGCAAAATGCAGAGGTCATCCCGCATTGCCAAACTCAAACGTAGAGGTCACCCTGTGCTTCCAAGTCAAAACGCAGAGGTCATCCCGCGTTACCAAACTCAAACGCAGAGGTCACCCTGCGCTTCCATATCTCAAACGTAGAGGTCGCCCCACGTTGCCAAGCTCAAATGTAGAGGTCTCCCTGTGCTTCCAGATCTCAAATGCAGAGGTCACCCCGCGTTACCAAGCTCAAACGCAGAGGTCGACATGCGTTCGAGATCCCAAAGGCAAGGGTCACCCCGTGTTGCCAAAACCAAACGCAGAGTTCGCCCTGCGTTACCAAGATCAAACACAGAGGTCTCTAGACGCAGAGTTCATCCGCGCTTTCTCTTCAGAATGCGACCCTTGTGTTTTTTACTCAGGAACGGTTTTCAAAACTGTCCCATCAAGGTATGGACACAGTTAAGGGCTAGTTAAAGAGTGTCTTACCCTATGATTGCCCTATATATAGAGCTGGATCTCCAGCAAGAAAAGGGCTGGACAAGGAGGCTAAAAAGGGCTGGAAAAAGGAGGCAAAAAAAAAGGACAAAAAAGGGGGCAAAATAAGAGAAAAAAGAGAAGGAAAAAGGCTTCTTGGAGAGGTTTCTTGGGTCATTCTTGGAGTTCTTGGCTTGCTCTTTAAACCCATTTGGATTAGTTATCTTGGAGGTTCATCTCCTCTCTAAAATCAACCCCTCTTGGGGATTCAAACTCGGCTAGAGTTCTCAACTCTCTTACAGAGAGTTTCTCTAACTTGTTCAAACAAGTTTCATTCAAACTCGCCTAGAGTTCTTAACTCTCTTACAGGGAGTTTCCAACTTATTCAAACAAGTTCCTCCAAACTCGTGTAAAGTTCTGAACTTGTCTTGCAAGTTCTTGACACTCTTACAGAGAGTTCCCAAAACTCGGCTGGAGTTATAAACTTGCCTCGCAAGTTCTCTCAAGGCGTCAGGTCAAGGAGAGAGGACCAACATCCTGCAAAGTTGAAGTTTTCAGATCGTCAACGGGATACAAGATTCAAATTCTCATCGCCTAAAGAAAGAACCTAGTTTTTAAAAAAGGGAGGGTTTCATCCTTCCCTCTTTTGTAAATCAGGGAACCGATAAAGAGAATTATAGTTTATTTTTTAAAATCGGTTAGAAAGAAGTTATATTGAGAAGATTATAGTCATTCTTTTTTTAAGTCAGTTAGAGAGAATAATACATATTCAATCCTCGAGTTTCTCATAATTTTCCGTGCGTACAAAAGATGGCGACTCCGTTGGGGATGATCTCTTTCACCGATGAAGAAGTGGTGGCGCAATCCGATACCCAACTAGTTGGGACTACTGTTGAAACTCTAACCGTGGAGTTTGACCAAGCCAGGTATGAGGAGTTTCTCTCCTCCGGATCCCTTAGCCCCAAGGCTATGCGCAAGGCCCGTAAAGTCTCTAAAGTGACTAAAGCTCCAATCATGGCTGACCCACCAAATGAGAGTCTCTCCCTTAGGTTGGACTGTTCAGACAGTCCCTCCTATGAAGGAGAAGACTTAGCTCCAATGGAACTCATCAATCGAGTTGAAGATCCTACATCCATGCCAAAACAACGGGTGTCGGGTCGTAAAAGGCCTATTGAAGCGGCGACATTGATCTCTACAGAGGAAGATGCTGCTGTAAAAGTCTTAAGACAGGCCAAGAAGAATGCCTCTCATCGAAGAAGAAGATCCCATCAATGAGCACAACTCCAAGCAAGCTGACTCTCTAATCTATGCAAACCTCGTGTTTGTGAGCCCAAACGCAGCCTTGAGCCTCGCATTTCTGCTTCAGAACACGAGCTCCGCATTTGTGTGCCCAAACACAAGCTTCGTCGAAGCCAGACCGAACGCAGCCCTCAATGGCACGTTTTACAGTCAAGATGCAGGTCTCAAGATTGCACCGAATGCAGACCTCAAGACTGCGTTACCCAGTTGGAACGCAAATCTCATGACCACGAAGAGCGCAGCCCTTGTGTTGCCCAGCCTGAGCACAGAGGCCAGCTATGCATTGAGCGTGAGCATTAGATCCACATAGCTCAACCAAAACACGACCTTTGTGTTTCCTCTCCAAAATGCGACCTTTG